TTAAAATTATTTGAAGAAGAAATCTATGCACGCTCTGTGAGTAGTTATTATGATGACGAACCGGAAACACTACTGGATTCAGTGTTTTATTTGTGGATGTTAGAATTCCACTCTGAAAAGTTATTAAATTTATGCAAGGATAAAATCGGTGTTATTCGAAAAATGCAAACAAAAACAAAAATACGGTTGAATATGATGTTGATTTGTATGCAGGTTGAAGATATGCAACTTTACAAACGTTTTGGTGTGAAAGCTGATGTGTTTAAGTCGGATACAAAGCAAGAGTTGGAGAAAAGGCCGAATTTAATGAAGATTTATAATGTTTTGAAGCTGTTTATGAGTGATTTGGATGTGAATCGGCTGGAATTTGAATATCAAGTGCCACATTTTAACGTTTTGGGTATCACTGGATACAGGAAGAATGTTTACAAGGCTTTTGTGGTGGAAGTTCTCGATGAGAGCAACCGAGTGAAGAATGTGGATGAAAAAATGTCTGGTAGGCTGCAAGTCAAGACCAGGCTAATGTATAAAATGGATTTGACAGTTGTCTTAGTAAGATTTTTATAAAATAATCATCCAAATATTGATTTGTGTTAATTTTTAGTTAAACTCTGCGGATTTTGAAGATTTAAACGATTCGGAGTTGAAGGAATACGTCAGGAGAGAAATGTCCATCGTGTCATGAATATTTTTATAGAAATTTACAGAAAAATCGTGATTCAGTCAAAGAAATAAATATTTATGTACCAAATTAAATATATAGTGACCCATCAGCAGGTCCCAAATAATGCAGGGAAATCAAAATAACATCTATTAATGTCCACACGCCTAGTCCACCAAAACTAAAGAGTTTACCAATGCCTTCCTGCCAATGCCCCAGATAAAATCGATCCGCGCCGAAGCCTCCTAAAGTTATGCTTAGCACAAGTGCAGTGGACCAGCGATATCCGCCTGTCCAGTTACAATAAACATTTTTATTGAATGTTCTTGAGCCTTGAATCAAAACAAATTAGTTTTCAGTTGGTAAGCTGCTCAAATGTTTACCTAAACATATAATGTTGTCATTAACTGTACAATTTGTTGTATATTGTGATCGGTTTATTGCTACAGAGTTGCAGCTTGCTTTCCAATCACAAGTATGCTCCCATGGTTCAGTTTGATAGCAGTATCTGCAGATGTATTCCTTTTCAAACGTTTTTTTACCCTGTTAAACAGAAATTTTAAGTTTTATGCTTAAAAAAACTTGATTTTTCAACTTACTGTCATGCAGATTATACCATTGGGTACATTACAAGTTGCATTGAGTTTCTGGCCGTAAATACAAGTGCTGTTCATGTCACAACTGAGGCAGAAGCCACTCACTTGTTCACAGTTTTCATGATGTGCAGAACAATAACCATGGCTTAGCATAATCTAAAATTATTGATTTTTAATTGATTTAGAAGATTTTTAGAGGAATTTATACCTCAGGGTTGTTCTTTAGTGATACTTCTTTAAAGTTTTGACTCTTTCTGCTTAGATCCATGTTGTTATCACCTGTTTTGCATAAATAATTGAATTAATTTTATGTAAATCAGTAGTTATTGGGATACTGACCGAATTGCGAGTGCTGTGCACCGTTTACAACAAACATGAGTAGAATTAGACATGCCTTCTTTGCACTTATTTGATAACACTGCATTTTGAATGCTGTTATCAATTATTTCGAACGTTTTAAATCTTTGTTATCATTAGTAAATTATATTTAGGTTACACCATAGATTAGAGTAAGTGTGGTTGCCTACTTCTGACTGAGATTGTTTTTATTTTGTTGCGTAGTTCTTTTCGGCTTCGGTTTAAAATAAAATTAGATAATTAAGTAAAATAAACAATATATGTTTAAATGATATTTGTTTGATGTTAATATTAACATTTTATTACTTCTTTTGTTATTTAGTTTTGAATTCTGCTGTTACCCAGAAGCCCCTACCACTTCCGTTGTCAAACGAACATGGCCACCATTTCCTGGCAGATTGTTTCTTTTTAGTCAGTCTTTTTAAGCTGTCAACATGGCGGATCAAGTAAGT